CGAGGGACCCACAGGGCTGAAGCAGAACCGGACTCGGGCCACCGAGTCTGGTGCCCAGGTGGCCCAGGTCTGAGATGTGGGGCGAAGGACCAGAACCCCACAAATATTTGGGAGTGCGCCCATGCTGCGCCAAGCCTAAAGGGAGTTGCCGGAACATTTCTGTACTGGACCACTCACCTAGTACCATCCCTGCGGTCGCCCTGATCACCTCCGAGGACATCTACTCTGCACCCCCGCCACCTGGTCACCTCAACGTGCACAGAAGGCTTCCGTGACTGAGGAGTTGCATCATACTGTGTGAAACAGCCCTTGCTGATATGAGTCAGCGGAACATCGAACATCCATTGGCTACAGGAGGAGGTCAAGTGACTCAGAGGCCGCCATCTTTGTTCAGGGAAGAGAACACTTCCGGTTCGAAGCTACTGGGCGGGGTGCCTTGTCTGGGCTACCGAGGCGGAACCGGGTCTCAAGCTTCCTGCGTTCCCAGCTCTGCGCCTAGCTGAACGCATAGCAGGTTCTGTTTCTGAAAGATTCAACCACCATGGGGGAAAACGGTGTTGTTTTGTTTTTTAATTATTTGTTTTTTTATTTTATGTGTATGATTTTTTGCCGGCATGTGTGTACGTGCACCAGGTGCGTGCCTTGTAAAAAAAAAAAAAAGTCATCGCATCCCTTAGAATCGGAGTTATGTATGGTTGAGAGCCCAGGTCCTTCGTAAAGAGCAACAAGTGCTCTTAACCGCTGAGCCCCCTAAAATAGACTTTTAAAAAAACGAAGAAGAAAAATTGTGATGAGCTGACTAACTACCTGCTTCCCCAATAAAACAACAGTTTATATAGCATTCAATTGCATTAGTTTATGTGCTAATCCACAGATGATTTAAAATATGCAAGAGGATTTATGCAATCTCACTGCAGACACTATGCTATTTGATATAAGGCGTTCGTTATTTCCTTATTTGCATGGGTAGTGTTGATCTCCCTGAGATACCTACAGACGACCGTACTCCCTGAATCTGGCGGTGGATCTTGTATGCCACCAGTCAGATTATGAGTAGGTCTGGCCAGGATCCGCTTAGCGCTTGCTCCCAACGCAGTCTGGAGTTAAGGAAGCGCTTGGTTAACTCTGCTAAACAGCCTCATTTAATCACATCTTCCAGAAACTGGCGTTTCCTTGATGCATAGCTGAGAGTCACTTTCAGAAACAGACTGAAATTTGTCAGTACCCTTTATTGATTGATGGAATTGTGTTTAATTAGAGGCATTGTTGAGGATGTGGCTAGGTTAGGGGCGCTCTTGAGGTCACGGTGTTCCCGTTCTGTTCTCAGGATTGTTCTAGTCTCTCTACCGTGTCTATTTGGTTTGAGGTGCACTGTAAAAGGGAATGTCTATATTTAACTTTAACCATAGCCCCCTGCTTATTATGTTCAGGGCATACGAATCCGACGTCGCCATATTGGCATCGGGTAGCTTCCGGGTTCCTCTCCTGGGTCCTGTCAAACCCCAAACTCTCAGACGTCTTCCAAGAGCATTCAGTAGTATTGAATATTTTGCTCCACAAAACAAATTTTGAAGAGAGAAGAGAGGGAAATCACGGTGATGGCTTCTTACCTCGTCCCAGCCTGAGAAGGAGTGTAGTGCATGGAATATGTAAATAATGTGTAAGATTTGTAACTGCAGACAACAGTGGAGATCTCACTAGGAGACTACTATTTTAAGGAACTGAAGATGCAACTTCCCTCTCAAATTCGAGTGTTAAATTTGAGCAAAAGTTAGTTCGTTAATTCCTGGAGAACTTTTTTTTTGGTGATCCCTAAGCCACTTCCAGTTTGTGAATTATTTGTGAGCCACCAGGAGCAATAAAAAATAAAATCGTTTAAAAATTAATATCTCATTAAGGAATACAAATTTGAGCAAGTAGAACTCTGAAGCCACATACACTTGAAAATAACACAACTCTATTTTCTGGCTCCATGACCTTGACCTTGATCCTGACCCTAACCTCTTGAGTCCTGGATACCTTTGTAACATGGAAAGAATACATCTTTCAAAAAGTAAAGATTAAAAATGACCTATTATACAAAAATGCCTATTATGTGTTTGACATCCACACTTATCTGAATGAGGAAGTGGCACTTGGTACTCTTTTGTTACCTGATCATATGTGAATTAAACCTTCAACCTAATTTCTGAGAGTTCTGGTGGATGCCTCACTCTCCCCATCCCCTCACCCTCCCCACCTCCCATCTGCATGAATGGGCTCCCTAGCCAGTGTCCCATAATGTCTCTGACTATCTTTCCCCAGCTGCTAGTGACTTGTCTTTTGCTTCAGGCCATTATATGGGAGTGCTGATAGCATTTCCTTGAAACCTAAGGACTTCCTGTTTCGACATCCATCTTTTTCACCTTATTCAGTGAAAGTAGTTGCCTGATTAAGGCAGCCAGCTGGAGTCCCCACTGAGATTCTTGGGCACCTCAAAATGTCCCCTGGGGTGAGACTTCTAAGTAAAGGAACGAATAGCAGCAGACAGAAACAATAACATCAAGTCAGGCCCTCAAGACATTCAGCAGAAACTAACTTTGGAAGTTGAGGCAGCAGGCTGAGTATAACACATCTGAACTTTCAGCTTCTTCCATCCATCCATCCGTCCGTCCGTCCGTCCGTCCGTCCGTCCGTCCGTCCATCTATCTGTCTATCTATCTGTCTATCTATCTATTATTTATATTGTGGAATAAAGAATAGTAACTTTTGGTCTGTTTTGATGTTGTCTTCCCTCCCTGTCACACAGTTAACAGGACCAACCTACCCTCCAAACAAGGAGGGTATCCAAACAAGATACTATGATACTAGGAGACAAACATGTTTCAGCCTGAAATAGGGAGTGGGGGGGGGGCAACCCCACATCCAAATCCAGCTTCTGGTGATTTCAAACAGGACATAACAATTTATCAATACACTACAGATTCTATGTTAGTTTAGCTCACTAACAGTATCTCTTCTATCCTGGAGCCAATGACCTCCCTTACTATGGGGTTTTTGACCATATTAGGGTTACAGGCACACACACACACACACACGCACGCACGCACGCACGCACGCACACACGCACTCCTTCCTGTTGAACAGGTCTGAAGTCCAATCATAGACAGTTGGTTATCCCCATGACACTGTGCATAAGTAGACACATCTTGTTTGGCAGCTCGGTCTTAGAGTTTTTATGTTCACAGTTGGGTAAGGCTGTTGATGCCTTTTCTCCCCAGAAGCCTTCATGTCACCTTGTGGAACTATGAAAGCTAGCCAGCAGAGAGGATGCTTCCAGCTCAGTTCTCGACTGATTTCTCTACATCATGGAACCAAGCTGTGTAGTCTTCAGAAGTAGGGGGGGTCTTATCATGGATTTCTGTTGGGTGAATAAAAGAATGCCAAGAGAATGTATTATTTTGGGGAGGGGGCACTAAGACCTTTTTAACTAACAAGTCATGATAAGGTATCTCACCCCAATGCATGTCCAGTTTTGCCAGAACCATCTATGGAAAACGTTATCTTTTGTTCTTTGTGTCTTTTGTGCCTTTGTCAGAATCACTTGGCTGTATGGATGTGAGTCAATTTCCAGGCTCTCTTTTTTTATTCCACGAATTATGTATATGCCTTCACATTAATTACATACTTATTTGTATGTGCATGTGTATAATACATGCATGTGGGTGCATATGCATAGTACACTTGTTAGGGTCAGAGGATAACTTGCAGCAATCAATTGTTTTCTCCCACTGTGGGTTCCAGGGATCAAACTCAGGTTATCATTCGTGCTGGCAAATGACTTCTGTGCTGAGCCATCTTGCTAGCCCATATATCTGTTTTGTTTGTTTGTTTGGCTTGCAGAGAAAATGCTTTCATGGAACCAAGATGTCCAAATCAAGATACCCTGTGCACAGCTGTCACAGAGAACAGTAGAGGTCCTAAAGAAGAAATTGTATTTTGGTGTTGGTAGCCAAGAAAGAAGATAGTCTTTGCCCTCTTCCAACCCAAATAGCTTAAACTACCAGACCAGTCACTTCAAGGTACATTCTTGGTTTTGGACCAGGAGATGAATACTTAAGTTGGAAAGACACTTTGGGCCAGTGTGCTTCTCACTGGGATGAACACAGGGCCCTCAACATCCTGAAGTTTCCCAATCAACCATTTATGTAGGTATAAGCCCAGGCCCAAGTCTGAGTATCTCCTGCAACTGTCCAACCTGTTGAACTCATGATCTTCCTGCCTTAGCATCCTGATTGCCTTTTAGGATTACAGGCTTATACTGTTATGCCGTTTACCCCAGAGACCTGATCTATAAGGAGGAAGGATTTACTTTGACTCATAGTTTCAGAACATAGTCACTTAGCCTTGTTTCTTTGGGCCCAAGGTGGCACAATTTCGATGGGAATATGTGGTGGAACAGAACCCGTTTATAGTGACTGGGAAGGGTCTCCATATCCCCTTCAAGGCCATTTCCTTCAAGATTTATCTCCCTCCCACTGGTTTCCACCTCCTAAAGATTGTACCATCTTACAAGAGTGCCATGGGCTAGGGACCGAGTCTTTAATACATGGCTTTTGAAACATTTCAGATCTCACCAGTAACACCTTCCAACTTTATTTTTGTTTCTTACAAGTCTTTGCATTTCTAGATGAGACTTAGAATTAGCTTGAATTTTTTAGAAAATCTATGGGGTTTGGGTTGGAATTAACATTGCTTTTGTCCATCAATCCTACCCCACTCACTTTCACATGAAAGCAAACCAGTAGACAGAGTTCTATGCTTGGTCCTTCTGTCTTCACAACGAGTCATGTAGATTGTAGTTGTTTTTGTTTTGTTTTGTTTTGTTTTCTCTTTTGCTTTTCACTCTTTGGTCTTTTGGGGACCCACCACCCAACTCCCAAATAAATACATACAGAAACTTATTCTTTTTTATGAATGCCCAGCTTTAGTTTGACTAGTTTCTAGCCAGCCTCTGGGCTTTTTCCTTTTCTTCTGTATATCTTACAGTAGCTGGCTACATGGCTACATAGCTGGCCCCTTCTTTTCTTGCTCCTTGATCGTGCTTGCTTCTTCATTTCATACTCTGACTGCCAGCCCCTCCTATCCCTCTCCTACCTTGCTATTGACCGTTCAGTGCTTTATTAGACCATCAGGTGTTTTAGACAGGCAAAGTAACACAGCTTCACAGAGTTAAACAAATGCAGCATAAAAGAATGCAACACACCTTCGCATCATTAAACAAATGTTCCACAGCCTTAACAAATGCCACACATTTTAAAATAATATTCCACAGAAGTAGCTCTTTTATAGCCTCCCTTGGTTTCAATTCATGTGTCATCAGGAGACATCTAACTTCATTTAACCAGTCCTCTCTCATTGCTTCCTAGCTTTGCCAGTGTTTTTGTCATTGTAAACACTGGGGTAGTGCTGTAGTCATACATGTGGCTTCCCCTGTGGGCAGAAATATCTATACAAGGAAAATGAGAAGTGTAATGACTAGGTCAAATTTTAACGGATATTTCTAAATTGCCCATATCAGAGTTTCATCAGTTTATAGTTCTGTCAATAATAAATCAGGTTTGTTTTGTACACAGCCTCACAGGTGGGTTTACCAAGCGTTGTTAGGTAATTTCTCTTTGTTAAGGTGAAGCATATCTATCTATCTATCTATCTATCTATCTATCTATCTATCTATCTATCTATCTATCTATGGGCTCATGTGGCCTGGACTGCATGATGTAGCTAAGGATAATTTGAAGTTATGGTCCTCCTGCCTCTACCACCTGAGAGCTGACATTATGGGCATTTGCTACCACAACTGGGTTTTTGCTTGATTGTTGTTGGTTTTCATTGTTATGTTTTTGAGACAAGGTCTCACTGTGTGGCTTAGAATTTCCTATATAGATCAGGCTGGACTCTAACTCACAGAGTTCTAGTTGCCTCTTCTGGAATTAAAGGTGTGTGCCACCATACCTGACCATACCAGGGTTTTTACTTCAGAGCCAGGGATGGCGTTCAGGGCTTTGTGCAATCTAGGCAAGCATTCTACCAACTGAGCTATAACCCCAGCCCCTATTTTCATTTAATTTATCACAGGTAAATTTTAATTCCAAAACATTTTATTATCCCCAAAGAACACCCTGGAGCCATTTTGGTGGTTAATTGTATTTCTTCTCCACTAGGCTGTGGTGCCTACGTGGTCAAAGTCTAGATATTGCTTAGAAGATGTATACAATATTTAGATCTTTCTATTGAGTTCCACGAAGAGTAAGGAATTCTGCTTTCAGATTCAGGATTGCAATGTCAATCTCCCGCCAAAATGTCAGCAGGCATCCTGCTGGCAATTTATAGGCCACCACTATTGTATAAGCTAATTCCTTAACATCTGTTGCTTTCTAGGATGTGGCTATTGCATACATCAACTAACAGCAGCCGTGGTTAACTACAAGATCAAGCCAGTCAAAATTTCAGCATGGATGGGAGACGGTCCCCAAGACCCTGTCCCTACTGGAGGAGCTATTGGCAGTTGATGGCCGTTGCAGGAGGGAGAGTCACTGTCCTTTGGGTATTTGGCTGCTGGTAGGTTGCTCATGCCCCAGTGAATGGCTATATTCCCATGCACCATGTGGTATATGGGTAGTGCTAATTCGACTTAGGGAGTTATTGATAACAACAATAATTTTAAAAAAAGACATGAAGTTGGGGCACTAGAGGGAGATGGAGGGCAATAGTGATGGATGGATATGATCAAAATGTACCATATACATGTATGGTTTTTCAAAGAACAAAAATATTATTCATAAAAAACTTTGTTGACCCATCCCCTCACATATTCATGTTCTCTATTCTCCCCCTTCCACCCCTGCCTGACAGTGGCTTCCTCCATTTAAGGTGTATCAAGGTTCACCCACGTTTTAGCATGTATCAGTATTTCATTCCTTTTGTAGCCAAGTTGCACTCCGTTATATACATACCATAGCTGTTGGTTCATCCACCTGCCGATGCAGCGGCTGAAGCTGATACCTTTGGGCTGCTATGGACACTGGTCTGTGTTTGCTTGAGTGCCTGTTTCTAATACTGTCAAGTATGTGTCTCAGAGTGGACTTGCTGAGTCAAACTGGCTTCCTCGGCGATGACATTACTCTCCATGTCCCCTGGAAGGACGGAGAGTTCAGTTTCTCCATTTTCTTTAGTATCATGACTGTGTTATTGACTGTGAAGTGGGCTTTCATTTTGAATATTCATCTATTTCATGAAGGGTCTCCCGAATTCATGTTGGCCTCAAATTCACCATGTCTCTGATAATGACCCTACCGGCTTCATTTCGGTTTTCACTTTCCGAGTGGCCATACCTTGAACGTCTTCCCATACACTTATCAACCATATGCACAGATACTCGGAGAAGTAGCTGCTGAAGAAAATATTTTTCCTTTTTCTTTAAGAAGTGTTTTTAACCGTGTGGGTGTTTTTCCTGGAAGTATGTCTATGCATCACTTGTTTTCCCAGTGCCCATGGAAGACGGAAGAAGGAGGGCTTCAGATCCCCTGGAGCTGGAGTTATAGATGACTGTGGGCTGCCATGTGGGTGTTGGGAATCGAACCGGGGTCCCCTGGAAGAGCAGCCAATGCTCTTGACCTCTGAGCCGTAGCTCTAGCTCGTAGATTCTGCGGTTGTTTTAGGAATCCCAACTTCCACCTCCCCCAGAGATGTACTTCAATGTCTTGGCAGGCCTTCTCTTTTATAGCTGCATCACACATTTTATTGTAACCGTAACTTGCTAGCAGATTCTGAGACTGGAATTTTAGAAGCCATTTTGTAGTTTTCCCAAGCTTCGTTCCCATCAAAGGAAGGCAGCGCCTCTTGAAACGTATTTAACCTCCATTAGGGTAGATTTTGTTATCACATTACCAGCTCTCAGTGATCATTTCCTCTCCATCAGATGTCATTCCAGAGCAGTATCTGCTATAGGACGTGACTAAGTACCTTTAGGTGGCACTGTTGGGTTGAAAATATCCCAACCAAACCTATTGTGACTTTGCAAGCCTTCAGTTTCACAGGCTGCTCAGAAATCTCCTTATACTGAGAAGGCTAATTAATACCTGCCCCTCTCCTCTCACCCCACACACCCACAGCCTGACACCCTCCCATCACCCGCTGCTAATCATGCCTCCCAAAGAAGTCCTCACCCAGAGACTCTCGATGGCATAACTGCACTTTGCTGGTTGAGGCTCATCATCTCTTCCTTTCAAGTTCTACTCCTGGCCCTATACCCAGGTCATGACACCTCAGTTCACACAGGGACTCCTGCCCCTCCTCCCCATTAGCCCCCTCACTTACTCCCATTCACCCAGTCTCTGCCAGCTATCTGGTATATACTTCCAGAATAGCAGCTCACTTCTCCTTTCTCTTGTTCTCCTTCCAAGGAGTTGAGAGAAAGTGGACTGGAGTGGACTTTGTCTCACCTCGGCAGTCATCCCCTCTTCTTTCAAAGTCTAATTGCCTTTCTTAGCCACATCTTCTCTAGTTTCTTGCACCATCTCTAACATTATTCTTCATGGCCAGCGGAGCCCTAATTTCTTTCAGGAACCACCACTGCACTAGATTCTTTTGACATGTACTCCACACTTTGCAAAGTAAAACAAAGCAAAACAAACCCCAACCGAACAATAGGAGCTAGGGATGTTATTCAACAGGGTACTTGGCTGGTATTCACAAAGCCCTATATTGCTCAACCCTGAATAAATGCAGGCTTGGTGGAACATGCTGGAAACATCAGCACTGGGAGGTGGCCACAGGAGGCTGGAAGTTCAAGGTCAGCCTTGACTCCACAAGGAGTTCTAGCAGCCTGGGATCTATGAGAGCCTGCCTTACAAAGGCAATAAAACACAAAGCTTAGCAGGTTAAAAGAGAAAGCCATTAAGAGAACTTGCTGTTTTTCCAAAGGACCTGAGTTAAATTTCCAGCATCCACAACAGGTAGCTCACAACCATCTGTTAACTCCAGCTCCAGGGGATCTGACACCTTTTTCTGGCCTCTACAGGCACCAGTACATACATGGCATACACACCACCACCACACCACCACCACCAACAACAACAACCACCCAACTTCGACAACTATTTTACAGTTGGAAAGTGCAGCTCAGTGGAGAGCATTTGCCTAACATATCCAAGACCCTGGGTTCAAACCCCAGCACTGCAAATAAACACAAAATACATACATAACTGTACAAATATAAAATTATACTTCCCAAATATTTTACTAAAGCATTTATTTTTTTAAACAAAAATATACATTAAATCTCAGATTTACAGCATATAGAAATAATTTATGATTTGCATTTTAAAATTATTAATATTGCACCCAACAGTGTAAGTCTTTGACACATATGCATTGTCAACTTTTCCCACCATTCAAAATGAAAAGGAAAGTGAAACCTGAAACTGACCAAATTACACAAGCTAAATTTTCGTAAAACACAGAAAGAGAGAGGGAGGGAGAGAGAGAGAGAGAGAGAGAGAGAGAGAGAGAGAGAGAGAGAGAGAGACATACAATTCTTCTTATTTACAAGATAAAGTTGTAAACTTTCAGAAATTCACCTCCAGAGGATAGGCATACATTCTTTGATCATACCTAGACAATGCATTATAAAATTACAATTAAATTTTCCTGTCTTGTGTACAGAAGATAAACTACATACATGGCTTCCTTTTGGGAATTCACAGACTGATACAAACATTTGGAAGGGGAAAAAAAAACCTACTGTAACCTACTGATGTCTTCATTTAGAGTAGGGAAACTATGTTGTATAAAATTTTTTAAAAAATGAGAAGAGTCCCTGAAAAAAATAAGTTAACTTTTCAAGGATATTTTCCTTAATTACCTAATGGTTTTTCAAAATAAAAAATACTGTTCTTTTGTCTTAGACATAAGACAGATGCCTGAATGAGGCTCCTAGAAGATTCTCATACAATACTTTGTAGGAAGGGGTAAACAAACATTTTCTTTAACAGATAACTGTGTAAAATAGTCCCAAATGTATCATCAATGCCCTCTGGGCTTTTGGTTTGTCTAAACTTATTTGTATTGAACAGGAGACCGCTCCTTCACTTCCAGGAAACATAGGAGGAAAGTTCCCCCAAAGACTCCCTAGCAGGTACATACAAGTTCCAGACATTGTGACAAACAATGTACAAAGCTCACACTGAAGAACCAAGCAGTGGAATCATTCAAGCAAATGTGTACATACAATCTCAATGTTTTAAGTAAATTTACAATAGTTATCCTTGGCTGAATGCAGCCATAGGCAGCACTTTGAATACACTTTGTAGACTTTATACACTTTCACCTGTTTTGAGTAGTAGTAGCAACTTTCCCATCAGTTAATATTCAAGACTTGATGACAAAGTGTGTCTGCCCGATAATGCATCCAGTGGCTCATAAGAGCTCAAGTGGTGTTGTCTTCCAAAGGAAACCACAGTCAAATTTTCAGTAGGTGCTTTTCTGTTCTTTTCCAAATACTTCATTTTAATTGGCCCATAATTGTGCATATTTATGGGATACCATTTGATATTTCTTCCTTTTGGTACTGAGATGGGACCTAAGACCCTGGCTCTACCACTAAACCACAAGGTAGCCTGCCATGGGGTATGTGTATACTGTACAAAACAATGTTGACATCAGGGTTTGTCCATTTCTTCAAACAGTGTCACTTCTTTATGTTGAAACCATTCAAATCCTTTTCATTTAGTATTTCAGAAATATACATTCCATTATCATTATCCATAGTCCTTTACCAAGCAACAAATCCCACAGTTTATTTCTCTCATATAAG